CACTAGAATGTGAGGAAGAGGAATGTAGCATCCATTGGGAATTACAGTTTTAACAGCCAATTATTTCAGAAGAACATTTCCATGTACTTCTTGTGGCACAACAAGGTTGTATTTTTATTTAGTTGAAAATATGCACTGGTTGGCATAAATGTGGTAATGAATGTGTTAACCACACCAGGTAACACATTTTGTTTTCTCTGATTCTTTGTGTCATGACAAGAAAAAACAATTGCTTATATTCAACAAATTAAGTTCTGCTGTACTTTGTGTTTAGTAAGCAATGTGAGCATGCTAATATAATGACACAAGGTGATAAACAGTATACCTGCAAAACTAGTGGACATATTAGCACAGCGACATTAGCATGTAGCTCAAAGCGCAGCTGCACAGAGCTGCCGGCGTGTAAAAATGTCAGTTAAATCCACTTTTATTGTCATACATGTGCACAATGCAGCACTCAGTGAACCCAACATGGTATTAGAAGCAGTTGGCGACTATAGTGAACCTGGGGAATTAGTTTGGGGTTCCTGTGCTTGCTGAAGGGCGCCTCGGCAGTGTCCAGATGACACACTGGGCTACTTATGCGAGCCTCCAGTTTGCTCTTGTTTGTGCTGCTGTTAGACATGTAACATACACCTGGTTCATGTTATCATGATAAATCCACGTAAGTTGCAAGTGGGATATTCTCAGCTGTAAAACATCGTAGCCATTCCTATGCAGTAATCCGTGATTTTACAACAAATGTAAAAAGTCTGTCCTCTAATAATATTTCGAGGAGTCAATCGAACAATGACAAATACTGTCCCCTGTATTAGCTACGAGCTAAATGCACTCGCTCCCGGAGGACCCGTGATAATGGCAGCTTAGGAAAACGTGTGCGGTCTCTTAGCAACGCCGACATTCCTCCCGCTCGGCCCGCTGGTGTCTGTGTCCTGTCTGGGTTAACGGGGCTATATTTAAGTCTGGCCTGCAGAACATAAAGCAGCGGGAATCAACCGTCCGTGAGCGATGATATCTCTGTGCACAGTTCACAACGATTTAGCGAGTTAGGGATGAATCTGCACTCACTTCCGATGGCCCGGTCATAAGATGGCTTTAGAAAATTAAGTGGTAGAGTACAAATGTGTTTGTCTGTGTGTGCGTGTGTGTTTGTGTTGTCGATATGGTTTGAGGTCGGGGAAGGAGGTGGAGCAGGGAAATGAAATGAGCTTTGACTTTGGTGCTTTGTCCCATCAGCAGAGACCCCTGAGCACCCGGACGGCTCCTGAGCTGCTTTGCCGGGCCGGATCCATATCGGATTGCTGAATCATTACCACGCCACACATGTGTCTCTGTGTAGTCTCGGGAGGCTCTAGTTTACGGAGCATCATGACGTTCAATCAATGACCTACTATAGTCCTACCTCCCCCCCGTTTCACATCTCTGTGCCACAAATGCCTCTTCCCAACACGCTCCTCCCTTTCGCCCAAGATTATAGGAAGAATCTGCCCTAAATGTAAAATATGGCACTAGCTTGTCCGTTTTATAATTGCAAATAAATCGCGGGGAACGCTGTTGTCACATTGAAGACCTCATATAGGCACCTGTAGGGATCCTTGGGAGGAATTGCTTCTGGACTCCTGTGATTTGTCAAAGCTGTCAAATGCATCATTCCATAGGAGCAGCTGAGCTGGATGGTTGTTTGACCTGTCAGATGTATTGACCCTTCAATCGGTTATCACATGGCACTTCCTGTTTCACTATTGCCTGCCCTCATTAGAGTGAATTGTAGTTATTCAAATTCCCTCATAGTGTTTGTACTTACATTAGATTTTATAGTTTGCTTCAGAAAAGGCACATTACAATTAGTATCAACTAAAAAATAACAAATGAAGGCTGTATTGATAAAGCATTATTATTATTATTAGCATTATTGTTGTTATAGAACACTTTATGGGCAGAACAATGGCATTAGTTTAATGAGTACTCAATATTGCTGTTAGTTGACTATTTAAATTTAAATAAAAAAATGAATATTGTAATATTGTAATGCTAACACTATATTTAGTTATTTTCAATAACCAATTACTGGCTTCACAAGCCCATACACCTTTTAATAGCTAGACTTAAGTTACACAACAAAAACTAATTTATGAATTAAAAATACATGACTTTGAAACCTTTTATAAAACTAGTGCAATGACAAACTCCCACATCTGAAATGTACCCTATTTAATTAGAAAGGGTGTAATAACATCTCTTATGATACATAATTAATCTACTCTTACTCAAAATGGATCAATTTTCGCTTGTAATTTGGTTGAGAAGTTCTACTGGGTGAATGTCACTCTCCTTAGTTTGTACAGGGTGTTGTCGGATTCAAACTTTAACTTGCAATGAGCAACAGAGGCTTTGTGGAATGATACATAACCGCACCTTAAAGTGTTCCCTGTGCTCCTCTTGGTATTTACTGCCTGTTGCATAACTGATCCATCAAAACGTATCAAACACATTAGAGCATGAAGTTTTCCTCCTACACTGATAAAAAAAATCATCCAGGCAGCTCGCGTGCAAACTCTCCCGACATACCGCACGAGGCAGGGAGTGTTTGTTGGCAGGCGCTGCAGGAATGCTTCTGACAAAGAATCAAGAAATGTTTGATGGGAGACACTTTATGGTTTTCCTGCAGTGATGCACTACAGTTTTATCTTAAATCTTAATGAATGGGAACTCTCTAGTTATTCTCTCTCTTCATTTAGTTCATTTGAACCCTGCTACATAGCGTGTGGCCCACTGATGACAAGTCTTCAACTCTTAAATCTGCAGCGTTACAAACTGAGTGTCTGTGGCAGCTCTCCCAGGAAAAAACACAAACGGTGCACATTGTTTGTTTCTCTGGAAGTCTGGATCCAGATACACATCCCTCTTATCGCCATAGCAACCACCAACGTAAACGAAACAAATATCATCCAGATTTGATTTTAGACGAAATATCATATGTCCATTACTAGATTGTACTGGAGGAAACATTCTTTAATCTTTCTCTAATAGGACATTTCATTCTTTTTTTTATTGCCAATTAGATTTCATCTTTATTTGGCACAAAAAGATGATATTTAGTCCATTTTAGTCTATTTCTGTATCCCGAAAATGAACTATTCAATTTATTGCATTGATTCATGTTGGCTTAACACAAACACGGTTAGCAACATCACAGAGGACGGAGATGTCTATGAGTCGACACAGGCTCCAAACCTCCTGCTGTCTTTGTCCTTGTAAGGAGACGCCGGGTTTGTTCGCTTGACTAAGTCACGCCAAAGGTACGGCAAAACCAGAACCACAGTCTCGGCACTCGGGCCGGATTGTCTGGATGCCTGAAAGCAGTCGGTGGTTTTCCAGTAGACTTGTATGGACTGCTGAATTGTGGCCGTTCCAAATGATGTAGAAGCACTCGCTGCTTAGTTCTGTCAATGACTCCATTACCTTTGACAGACGACATAAACGACCATGACACATTGTTGACACGGGGACTCATTGCTCCGGCAGTCAGTCGATTTAATCACCGCGTCCAGTTATCACCCCGCTGTATTGAGGGAAAGGACGTGGTGGTGATGGTGTAACGAACCAATTTGCGTCTGCAGAGGATGCGATGCAGATGTGAACCCCGACGACCTTAGCCAGAGTCCTGCGGCAGACGGACTGCGTGTGTGTTGTAGACACGGCGAAGCAGCTCCGCCAGCATTTTTAGAACAAGGCTTCAATCACTGGGCGAGCCGGCACGCCCTGCCAAGGAATACTTCTTCCTAATTAGACAGTGTGCATTCAGCGGGTCCTGAATGGAAACAAGGGCGTGTTTTGTTGAGAAAGTGAATATCTAGAGACGCATGCAGTGATATTTAAGTGATATCAGATATATTTGGAGGAGCCCTCTGCAAAAGGGAAATACAAAATGTACTGTTTTAACATGGCTGACATTGGAAAGATGAGTGATACGTCTCAGGAAAGAAGGGAAGGAAAACTGTGGTGCTAATAATATCCTGCGGCCTATGGGGGGGTCGGGCACTTTATTTTTAGGGATGATCGCTGCATGGCTGTGGGGATGTTTTGCCGGTTGCCAGTCAGTTGGTTCCCCACATTTATCCAGACGGAAATATCTTAACAACTATTGGATTGATTGCCATGACAGCTGGTTCACACATCCATGTCCCTCTTATGAATGTATTAACCAAATGTGACATGTTGACTTCTCTGGTGCTCTTGACATTCGTGCTAATCCTGCACGCTGAAACATTAAACCGATACGGTGAACATTGTAAGCATTAAACCACAATATATTTTTAGAATTGTCATTGTGCTCAAAGCACTACTGGAAAGTATGGCAGAAGACTCAATTAACTAAACCAATAAGATGAGCTGATTTAATGTGACTTAACTGCCAAACTTTAAACTACGATGTGCTTCATAATTCAATCTACTTTATCTTCAAAAAATATTACTTTCAATACTTGCACGCGGGTCGGTAGGACGTACATCCCAACTGTGGAGGTTTTACCCGTCCTGGCACGACTAGATGATTTCATCATTTGCTTTGAATTATCATCTTATACCTCACTCACGTTGTGAGGAAACAAGCAGTTAGCATGAAAGTAGTCACGGTGCAGAAGAGATACTCCGCCCTTTTGTTGGGTGTGTTAAATCTCTACAGTCACTCACAGGTTGAAAAAACGAGCAATGCCGTGTTTGGATAAGGACGGAACTCTATTCTCTCTGCAGGTTGCAGGCAGTGGGATTCTAAAGACGACTGCACACAGTGGGAAGTCGACAAAAGATTGTAAATAGGGAGGAAAGTGTGTGTGTGTGTGTGTGTGTGTGTGAACCCACGCCGTCTGGCTCCTTTTGTAATCAGAGATGGGAGTATTATACCCACCAAAGTGCGATTAACCTGTCTAGCAGCCCTCGGGGGATTCGGGGGGGGGCCGGGCCCGGCAGTGACTGACCCACCTCTGTGCTCTGTGTTGCAGATGGGAGGAGGAGCTGTCCAAGCGAGAGCAGCTGGAGTCCAAGGTGGAATCCATGCAGCAGGTTTGGAAACGGGGGAAAAGAATATAATCCGCTAACATACAGAGCTGTTTGAAGTCTTCCCAAAAACCCTTCACCACACGCAGAGGAGGAGAACAAATAGGACCAGAGGATAGAGCGGATGCATACGTACCGTTTCTGAACTGCAACTACAGCACAAGCATACACACTCATATTTAGTTATGTTGTTCTTGGTGTTTTATTCTGTGTGCGCTCAGCAGATCTTGATTAGAAAAACTAGATTACAGACCCATTAGAAGGAGTCTGCTGGCCTCGATATAGAATAAAAGATAAAATATCACCATTATGTTTCTGTTCATAGCAGGCAGAGGAAATGAATCTAGAGGCAAAATCCATTTAGAGTGTCACACCTTGAGGCCGTGTCACAAAACACACTCCGCCCCAGCTGGTCCCACTACGTCATCCGGTCGGCATCTTTCCGCCTGTTTTTTGCGCAAAATCGACCAGTCGCCGCATGCGTGTTTGTCTGGCATTCTGGGTCAGCAAAACCCCAGATAGAGAGGTGGAGGGCCGTCCCACGGGGGCCTTAAACATTTCAGTGCACACAGGAAGTGAGTGTGGGAGGGAAGTCTGTTCAGAGATAGTCCATTCTTTGCTACAGTCATTTATTGTCCAGGGCGCAGAGCCAAGGCAGTGTTACCGTGGACAGTCGATAGAGTTAGTCATCCTTTTAATTGTTGAAAAAGTCAGTCCTTTAACTGCTACGCACGTGTTTACTAGTTAAATAGGATGGCCATGTGTTTGGTGGGGAATTATGTGAATACAGGAGTTTACTTAAAACCTCAAGAAAAGCTAGTCTGCTTGAATGAGGAAGGTTAATTGATAATTAGGTTTATGGTGCAAATGTGAATCCAGAGAATGTATTTGATAAAACGGTGGGAGTATAAAGGTTGTGTCTTTTAAGTCTTTTGAATGTAGTAAATGAGTAATTGAACATTAATGGAAGCCTGTAGTTAACGTTACAAGTGAATACACTTATTTCCCGTTAAACTATTCAGCAGTATTTTCTTGTCCATTATTCACCAAAACCTCTGTGTTCGAGGTTCTTATGTTCACTTAACAAACATGCAAGGATTCGAAATGGCCAAATACCAAACACCGTCAGTATCACCAAATGCTTTGCAAGGCTCACATTAGCATTATCTCAATTATGTAAATATAAAAAGGAAAGTAAGCTCTGGCGACAGAACATGAAACGCTAAACATTAACCATTATGGAAATGTAACAGTACAAAGGCTTTATTTTATTAGAAGGGTTTAATCTCAAGGAAAGTCTTTTATCTACCTGAATGCCTCTCATAAATGTTTTATACATTTATTGAGTATGTGAACGTGTCTTTTCACGTTCATTATGTTTAAGCATCCGTGCGTACTTGTTAAGTGTATTATTTTATTTCCTTGTCGTCCCAGAGCGCCCAGGAGTCGACCGAGGTCCAGGACGAGCTGAGCGAGAAGGTGGACAGACTGAAGGCTGAGCTTGTGGTCTTCAAGACTCTGATGGGGGATGTAAGTATCTGCTCAGAGCAGGAGTGACATGTCTGAAAAAGCCTTCACACTCCGCGTACTCACTCGAAGCGATCACGCTAAACGTTCTGACAGAAGTGTTTGCGGGTCGCACAATTGCTTTCCTGCACATTGCTGAGCGTCAGTGAGAGAAAGGCTCTTCATTACAGGTCTAGATAATAAAACTAAGCACACGCCCTTCCTTCCTTATTTGCGAGGAATTGATAATCGCAGAAATCCACCAAGACAAGGATGCATTGAGTAAAGCTCAAATAGCAGCTGCAGAACAAGAGCACTTCCTGTTCTGTATAGCTGTGTATTGTTCTCGGGGAGGTCTGCTCACGAGTGATATACAGTTATAATGTATTGCGGTCGGCCCGGTCACAGCTAGTGCTTGCTCAGGGACAAATGCAGTCGGATGTTGTTGACTTTTTTTTTTGTTGTCACGATCATAGCTCTCTTATCTTTTGACATCTGTGCACTGTAGATGTTTCATGTTATTTTCTGTGCTTGACTCGATCCCTGATGTGCGATCCAGAGACGGGTGAGTGACGTAGAAGTAGTGGTTAACTTAGGTTAGACTGAGTGGTTTGACAATTTTGTGTGATGTGCTCTAGATGTTGTCCCCCTCTTCTCATTGCTCCTATTCTCAAAGCTTTGACTGTGGCAGGAACAACTAACATACATGTGACTTATTTATGTAATTCATATGTGACGCACCAAGTCTTATCCAAACAGAATATTATTGCGGAATTATTAAATTGACAAAATGATAATGCAAACTTTTAATGTTTTTTTTTTTTTTATTTAACATGATAAATGTAGTCCTGGCCAAGATAAGTGACAGTCAGTTATAGATTACACATTATATCTCACAAGACATAAAGGCTATATTTATGTTTTTAATTTAAAAACTAATTTGTAATTATTTTACTAAATTGCATGTTAAAAAGGTATCATAAGTTTCAAGATATTTTATGTAAATATGACAAGAACGACACATATTTAAATACCACATATATGAGACCAACTAATCAAATTCACCATTAAAAGTGCAAAACACTACCTTTGTAGAACTGCCAAACAGCATCACAAATGACCATTACATTCAGTCGATGGCACTCTACTTAAGTTATTCACCTGCCACGGTGAATCAACTTCATGTAATGAATGTGCCACAGTGTGAGATGGACTTTGGGCTGCACGTGACGTCTAAAAACTGTCCCTACCCAAGCAGCAAATGTCTGACCTGGACACCAAGATCCAGGAGAAAGCCCGGCGGGTGGACATGGACATCTGCCGGCGGATCGACATCACGGCCAAACTGTGCGACGTGGCTCAGCAACGCAACTCCGAGGACATGTCAAAGATGTTCAGCATCGGCCCGGCCCGGCCGCTCCCAGAGAAGGTGGGTGCCCGTCTGCCGTTTCACTGTTTGACGGTAATCGAAGAAAAAATTACGGAGTTCTTCTGTGAAAGAGAAACAGTCAGCAACTAAATGAAATCAGAGCTGCCAGTGGCCGACCGGCTCGTCGTGTACTCTGTGACCCTTCTAAAAGGTGATGGGATGCATGTCTGCATGCTCGCAGACCCACACACAAACATATTAACACACCGAATACTCACAGGAGTAACGTTAACACATGCACCAGCACACGCACACAGAAAAGTGAAATGCTGAAGTGGCAACTCTTGCTGCACACAAGGTTATCGTATTGCGCCGACGGCGCTGGCTAAGGATCAAGTATAAATCCACCGTGACTCTAGCTGGTGACTTGAAAGTATGCACATGCAGTCTGTCCAGTGCAGATGTTTTAATGGTGGTGGAAACACTGAATTAAATGCATGTTTGGCTCGTTCGGAGAATTTTTCCCGCTGGACCCTCAAGCAAAGGGGTTACGTTATTTTGTGTGTGTGTGTGTGTGTGTGTGTGTGTGTGTTTCACAGGGGGCCATGGCCTGCTGCAGGAGAAAAGAGCGCAAAGCTGTGTCCGACGAGGAGAGTTCAGAGATGGATGCCGAGCCCAGCCCTCCGGAGGACGACGTCCCCGGTTCGCTCAACATCACAGACGAAATGAAACGCATGCTCAACCAGCTGTAAGCGGCTCTCAGACACGCATACATGCGACGAGGATGCACAAGCACACACACACACACACACACACGAGAATAAGAATAGAATCTGCTTTTATTGGGCCTAAAAGTATTTTGTACCAGTAAGACGTTGTTCTGATGGAATCGCTCTGCGTATTCCTTCACTTCCCTCTAGTGTTTATTCAAAGGGTTGCATACAGGACGCCCATCGGGCAAAACTAAGCAGATTTACATACTACTACTGACTGCTCTTGTTTTTTCTGTAAACTCTTCCTTCCGTCTGTTTGTCGCATCTTCCTCTTTGCTCGTGACCTTTGCCGAATCTGCTGTATGTTACACTACTTCTTCCTCTCCCTCCCTCCTGTCCTCTCCGGTCCCTGTCCTTGTCCCTGCGCAGACATTGCTCAGATAACTCCTTTGTTGCCAGGCGCGAGACGTTTGAAATTGACGACGACTGCGACAGTCTGACGTGGGAGGAAAACGAGGAGACTCTGCTGCTGTGGGAGGACTTTGCAAACTACAACTTACCGTGCGCCGTCCCCGCAGCGGCCGGCGCTGCCGCCGGGCCCTCCGACGGCAACGGGGAAGCCGCCGATCCGGTGAGTCCTGTCTGCGTCTGTGGAGGGTTTTGAAGTCAAGCGAGGCGACGTGCCGATGGATCATCGCGGTGGGTTTTGCTGTGTCAGACGTTCACTCGTGCATTTTGAATAAGACTCCTGCCCGGTCTCTCTAAGGACTCCCAGGATGGAAGTCTTGGCAGCCTCATTGATGAGACAGAGTCCCTCTTCAAGACCAGAGATGAGGAGTACCAGGAGACCATCGGACAGATTGAGGTAGACGACGTGCACTTGCGAGCATAAAGCCGGATTAAAAGCAAAACAAAAAGATAAAAGATTAAAGATAAAAAAGAAAATTTTGAATTTTTCTTTTTTTATGACCGTTTGTGAAATGTGATATCCAACATTGCCGTTTGATTCACCACCAATATATGGTATAATTCTCTTAGTTTCAATTGGTAAAGTATATATTTTTGTATATTAACTGCTAGAAATGTATGGGTTTAATGTGTAGTATGAACTAGGGACAAAGCTCTTGAGTCTAGAACAGTGGTTCTCAACTGGTCTGGCTCCGGGACCCACCATCACCCCTTAATGACAAGCCGCGACCCAAATCTAACATTCTCAACTTCTCAAATTTATTTAATGGAAATATGGTGCTGAGATAGTATGGAGACAGAATACGTATGCAAACACAAAAACAAGTTTAATGAAAAAACAAAACAGCCAGCTTTTAATTCAAATTTTCATTTTCCCAGGCAAAAGCCAGCGACCCATTAAAAACAGGTCCGCGACCCACCAGTTGAGAATCACTGGTCTAGAAAATACTCTATATACAAATGAAATAATGTCAAATACGATTTTGATCTATTTTTCTTCAACATGTTGAATCAATACGGCAATGTTATATTATATTCTATGTCATCATCTCCTCTCCTAGATGGAACTGGCCACAGCAAAGAGCGACATGAACCGACATCTGCACGAGTACATGGAGATGTGCAGCATGAAAAGAGGCCTGGACGTGCAGATGGAGACCTGTCGGAGGATGATTAAAGTCGGCAGGAACTCTCCCTCCGCCAGCTCCGTGGCCAGCAGCGACTCAGGGAACACAGACGAGATCCAGGACGAGGTCTCAGAGAAGGACGCAGAGGCACTGGTCCCCGTTAGCTGATGGCCGCACAGCCGGCCGTTGTCCCACCACTTACCAAACCCCCCCCCTCCTCATCACAGGGGTCACCTAACCTACGTTTGGGCCTGTTTGACCTGTTAAAGTTCTGATGCTCAGGACCTGAACTGGTGCTTCAATACTATTTTTGTGTGTGTTCGCGTCTTTGCGTCACACAAAGAATGGGTGCAAATAGAGTCCTTGTTCCTCTCTGCTGCCGCGCTGGATCTGTTTCCAGAGCTTCACATCATTTTAGGGCAGAGAGAAATAATATGTAATTGTTTTACACTCGCTGAGAAGTATTTTCTACAAATTCTTACCCAATTAATGTCCTTTTATTCTAAAGGAATTTAAAATAGTACATATTGTGCTCCTCCACATATAATTATTTAAAAAAACGATCATGCATATTTTCACATACCTTTATGTTCAGTTTGAGGAAAAACGTATGTGCACCTGAAGTAGGACATCATTTGGGTTTTGCTTGCGGTCCAAATTTAACTGTTGTTTTAAGTGTCTTCTGCCAAGGAGACGAAACAAGGACTGAAGGCAAATGGTGCAACAGTTCTGGTGGTTTCTGAGGGAACTCTGCAGAGTTGCCAAAGGCGGAAGAGGAAAGGAGCACAGCCTTCTGATGCATCGGTGCACTACTGACATTCTATGCAACGAGCTGGCCTTATTCTTGGACTGGCTTTCATCCTTCTTTGTTTCTCTTTGAACCGATACAATTAGCCTTTTCAGCAAAGCAGGTGTTTTCTATGTATCATTTTGAGAACTCGTTTTTGTGTGTGTGTGTGTGTGTTTGAGCGTAAAATAATCTCACTGATTTATGGGAACTGACTTATATCTTCATTTGTTACTTTAGCAGTCAACATCTGCCTGATGCTCCTTGCTACTCAAACAAGTAGTGCGTTGTTCCGTTTCTGATGTACTCTGAGCAAACCTAGTTCTCATCTACGACAGATTATTTTGCGCTCATCTAAACGAGTGATTTGAAATATCTTAAAATCCTGTATTTTTATGAAAGAAATTCAAAGTGAAGTAATTGAATCCAAACAATGCCCTCCAACGTCTTATGAAAAAAACCAAAGGACGCATTTTGAAAACCTCCATGGATTGTTATGTGTGTGGTTATTATGAGCTGTTATCCTGCTGTCCTGCAAGGGACTCTGTTCCAGATGTGCTGCACATCCTGCTGTGTCTCTTGTGAAGCGGGGCTTAAGGTGTCAGATGGTACATCGAGGGCTGCGGGCATGTGAGCGTTTACCCCCAGAGGCCTTTTAGTTCATATTAAGTCTCCTTGCAACCGACTGAGATGTCTCACAGTTGCGTTCTTCAGCGCTCTCGCTGGGTTAGGGTAGAAAGTGGCCGACGCACGGGGGGCAGAGGGGGGATTTCTATCACCTCTGTGTAAGATAATGTGTGTACGGTTTGCTGGATCAAAGATGAATTAAGTGCTACTTCTATCTTGAAGTTTTATAGAAGCAAAATGTTAATATTCGGGCCTTTTTGTTGTTTCAGCATGTTTGTGTGGAGAAAGAAGCTATGAGTCTTTCTTTTGTATTTTTTTAACTAAATAGCTGCAATGCAGACTGTTTGAGAACCCTAATCATGAATTAATTGTGGCATAAATTGTATTTTTCACTGTTTTGTAATCATTCTATGTTAACCCTAAAGTGTGTTATTGTCATCATACTCAGTTATTATTATTTCTGCAGGATTATTAAACTTGATTCAGGCGTTATAGTCACTTGCCGGCCGTGTCAGATCATAAAAAACACTCACAAAAAGGGTGAGAGGCCATTTTATCCATCACATCATTTTATGTTTGAATCGATGTAAAACCAGCCTGACAGAGACGCTCTTTTACTGGTACCGTTTTGTTTATGAATGGAGCGGCTGTGACATCCAGACGCTCAGTGACACACGGCCTGTAGGCGGCACCACAACACCGTCACGGCCGTCAGCCAGCCAAAGCAGAGTGTACAGTAACGGGACAGAGACGGACATCAATCTATGAATACGACTAACTCTGGTGCTGTTAGTTCACGCCCACCACCACCACCGTGCGTGTTTATTTCGCAGACATTTACTGGATTTTGGAGACATTATATTAATTGTATTTTGGGGCAGGTGAATGACATCCAGCTGGTAACACTGTAGCAACACTCAGAGTGAATGTCGTTCTATTGGAGGATCCTCTAAAGACCTTACAGACAAAAGCTGAGCAAAAGAAATGCAGCAGTTCAAATCCAGGGATATACGGTGTGCTGTTATAAGAGACCTTGGTATATTTTTGCTTTAATAAACGGGTTCTTACATGACCAACTTACAGTATGTGTGTAGCGGTGTGTAAACTCTGTCCGGGCGGATGTGAATCTTTCATACTAAAAGGGTTTTATAGCCTTGTTTTTTATCACGGGGGCGATGGGTTTAAATGGTTGCGGTAGCAGTTGTGTCAACATACAGTTTTAGGTGTTCATAGACAAACCGCTTTGCTTGGTTGTTACTTTGTTACTTATGTTACTTAATTCATAAACGTGATGGGGATAAACGGAGCAGCAATACCTGTGGCCATATTATGGTGAAATCCGCTGTATTGGATATTGGGGTTTGTGTTTTATTTGCATCACAGGAAGCTTCCTGTGGGGTTCATTTAAGGTGGTTTATCTGTCTGCTTTCATGGAATTACTTTTTCTTTTAGATTTATTATTATTTTTGTTTAAACTTATTGATACAATGTATTCATGTCTGGGGAAGGTTGTTTCCAAGTTATGAATGTAATCGATTGGTATTGGAGGGAAATAAATAAAATGGTGGATTGGATAGAAATCAGTTTATTTTTATTTATATCATCATTGTTTATTATTAAAAACACAAAAGATTTGAAACATTATACTAATCAGAAAATGTTTTTTGTAATAATGTAGATAATGTTCTTATAGATAAAGTTAGATATAAATTACGTGTATTATTAACATGTTGACCAATTTCTGAAATCAATGAAACAGTAGTTTATTAGTCCTTAGTTTATTACTCTTACTGTAATAAATAGTCTCATGGTCATTAGACCATTAACGTATTGAATCACTTTACTTAAACTGGTCATTAATGGTATTCATTCCAAAATATAGTTTGTGGTTCTATTTTATATTTTTAAAGCAGGCTTATTTTGACTGAACTTTTATACGCACCTGTAGAAGTCCTAATCTCACAGACGTCCTACAAAGCTCAGTATTTTAACCATTGATATGCAATTTGTTCAAATAAGCCGTAAAAACAATACATTTAGAATAGTATATTTATTATATAAAACATGGGTTTTTATGCAATGGAAAGAAAGTCAATATAATGCAAATAAAAAAACACATAAAATATTATTTTTACTCTGAACACGTTAAAAGATTCTGCTACCGAACAAATAAATGTAGAGAATTGGCCTTGACTTATTATACCTTAAACATGTAATATTAAAACCACCAGTTTAATGTTTGATTGTATCTCTTAAAAGTTAGTCAGGAACAGCAGCTATAAAGTCCAATTTCCTCTGTCTGAAAGAGTCCAACATGAGCCAACCAGCTCACAAGTTCCCCACCAGTCAACAGATATATTAAATGAGTTCTCCTCTCTGATTTACCTTTATTCTATCAGAGTCCACCTCTCCCTCATTTTTACCCTTCTGCTTCGAGGAAAACAATCCTTTTGGCCACGTCCTGCTCGCCGTACTTCTCTCGCAGCTGCTGTCGGACTTCGGGATCCGCTGAGAACAAAAGACTGTCGTCGCAGCGATTCCACACCGGCCCTGAAATGGAGGTGGGATTCAAAAGCTGCTCCAGGGCGGCGGAGAAGTCTCCGCTGGTCTTCAACAGGGCTTTGGTCACACTGACCAAGTCCTGGAACAAAAGATAGCTGTTGCGTTAGTTTGGGGAGACGCTAACTCAACGAAGCGAAGCGAATACAACCATACAAAGAGCACCTGTCGGAGGCCTCTGCTGCTCACCTGGTTGGTCTGGCTCATCAGTTCTTTGATTCGCTGTTTGTCCTCGTCCAACTGCACCTGGGTCAGCGAAAGGACGGCGTCTGTGTGCACCGCGGCCCGCGGTTTGGACGGAGCTACGGGATGGTCCCCGATAATGGACTGAGAGTCCTCCTGAGATTCACTGTCAAATATGAACAGGTGGACTTTGGAGGGCGCATCGACAGCCTCGCTGGCCACAGGTGCAGGGAGGCCGTTGCCGGCGGGCGGCTCGGCTTCCTGTGTGTCCCCCTGGGGACTCGCTACTAGTTCGGGGCTGGACGCCGTGGAAACGGCACCTGTAGCCGTGTCCGATGGCGGCGGCAGACGCTCTGCTGATGTGGGTCGCGTCGCGGCCGCTTCAGTCGGGGTTTGGATATCAGGACCGGCATCCTCATCCGACTAAGAGATGGGAGGAGAAGAGTAGAAATAGACACAGAGAAAAGAGAGACACTGCGGATTCGGCTACGTGACAGTGATATGATCCTTTGAGTTTAAACCTAAAATTAAGGCTATATCTGTGGAGTTGAACCCCATGCATTTCAATTAATGAAGTGGAAAGTAACAGCTACCAGAGTTGAAATCATTTGAACCCCTTAGATGGTGTCTTACCTCACTTCCATCTTCAAATTCCTTTATAGCCATCTCTAGAATCCCCAACTTTCTCTTTTCTTTCTTCTTCTGTGGTGCTGAATTAGACTCCGTACCTGGTGAACAGGAATGGAAGATGAATGAAAGAAAGGAGGAGAAGAAGAGGGATCATCTCAAGTATCTTGAAATTAAGCTTCTTAACACATCGGATTTTTGTACTCTGCTGTAGCACAAACCTGCTTGTGTTTCAGGGACGGCAGCTTCTCCCGTCTCCTCCTCTCCTGCTGCCCCGCTGTCTCCTCTGGGTCTCTTAGGAGGAGGCTGTTCTCCTACCGTGTCCACTTGAAGAGCGGACTTTGTTTTCTTCGAAGGCTGCGGAGATGCCGGTGGACGCCCAGGAGAAGTCGTCGATGATCGGAGTTTCCTGCTGTACGGTTCGGGCAGGCGAGGCATCTCGGGTGCGAGCTGCCTCCGCGTTGCTCTGCGCTCTAGTTGATCCAGCTTGGGGGAGACTTTCTGCTTCTCCTTGGACTTTTTCGGAGAAGATGTGTCATGCAGGTACTCGGGCTCAGCTGGAGGAGAACCGCATGGCGCACTTTTTTGAGGGGACATGACGTGCGTTTGTGGTTCTTCAGCTTCTGGTTCTCCACTCTCAGCTGTATCAGTCTGTGGGTCCAAACAAGGTCCCTCAGGGTGGGGAGAGTTTGACGTTTCAGCTTCTGCAGCCTCCCCGCATTTGCTCTCCGACGGTTGTTCATCGGCCTGTGGGTCCACATGTTTCACTTCCTCCTGGGGAGGGATGGATGTTTCAGCTTATACCGTTTCTACCGTAACAAATGGGGATTATTGCAGGCAGTAAATTCTGGTTACCACTTGTGTTTGGTCGGTTTCCATCAAACGGGTTTGAGCAGAGGCAGGATCTTCTGGACGGGAGGCTTTTTGAACAGCCGTCTCTTCATGGTCTTTTACCTAAGAGCAGACGGAGGAGAAAAGTCAGGCTTCATTTCCATAAAATATGCAACTATCGGGAGTCTGAAAGTATTCCAACAATGAATTTGTATTTTGATGGAACATATGTGAATGAATTCTTTACGGTGTGTGTTGGGAGAAAGCACTGCATGGTTTTCACTGGTTGATTAAACCGTTTGTCAACCAGGTGCCATCGATTAGAACGCACGCCAGACAAGATGTTCCTTTGGAAGGTTTATTAATAGTCGAAACAAGCTGTGAGGTTCTAAAACAGATACATGAAATAATTAGCAGACCTCTACACAATGGAACATGTCTGCATACGTATAGAAGATACTTGAAAGTCTAGGTATAAATAACAATTCCAATCTTACACATTTGAAAGCTTTCAGCTTCATTGCAACATCGACAGTGTTACAAAACATTACATTTTACATTCGAACACAGAGACAAAATGACAGCATTCATAAACAGTTATTGGCTTCTGACGCGCCACAATGCGAACAAAGAACAAGCAGCCGATTATATTGGACAAGATCACAGTCTAAATGGTATAAAATACACCTTTAATGAACTAATACAGAACTTTGCATTCCTTACTGGTTGTTTGCACACACACACACACACACACACACACACACACAACACTTGAATATCTTTACAGCTGCGGCTGTACTTTACGTCGCCACTCTGAACCTTTCCACTAACTTTGTGCTGGTTGTATTAAGAAGATGACAACGGTCTTCTTCCGCAAACAACTTGGCGTAGTGCAGTTCCTACGGGCTGCTTCTCTGAAACCCGTCGCTAGGTGTCGTCCTTCGTCACAGCTGCCCACAAAATCTGTGTCAGTCAGCACCGTCCTTCGGACGTCTTCAAAAGAGTTCGGGTCTGAGCGGTGACGTACAGCTCAGCTTTCACTAATCTCACTGCTTTCTCCAAGGCACATCCAGAGCGTGTTACCCCTCGACCTGGAGTTTAGCCCGATGACCTTTGAGCGTGCAGTGCATCGTTTTGAACTCCTCCTTTGAGATGAGTGCCTCGGTCAGAGACAAGCTCTGCCGGCTTGCCCCTCCGTGCAATGGGAGGAGTCAGTATCCAGATGTTTAGGTGCACGGACCCAAGTTGTCAGACACTTCAAAAAGTACCCCATCTTTTCTCGTGGTGACGACCGTCCTTTATCGTGAAGGGTCCAAAACGGTCTATTCCTGTAGAAAACAAAATGGAGGTTTGACTGTGAGAGGTTTGCCATCTTGGGCACAACAGCAGTGGCTCTCCACCTGTGGTAGTCGGGCAGGACCGCTGATGGCGCTTTACAGCTTCATGGTCATGCAGAATCCAGTATTTGCAGCGAAGCTCAAAAGCAAATAAGTCCTTCTGAGATTGTCTTCAAACTGCTCTCTGATTCCTGGTAACCTGGTGCGGGAAAGCTGTCTTGATTAGCAGGCTGTTTCGTGGCGGGACTGTTCAGAATCCTGTCTCTCCAGAGACCGGGTTTTGGCGTCAGAATTCAGGTGTCTGGCAAGGTCTTGGCTCCACTTACTTTTAGCAGACAGTTCGAACAGTGTGAGGTCACAAATGGGTTGTTAGTCCACGTACTTGCAAGCCTGGACGTCAGTGAGCTTCTGGATCTCAGCTACTCTTGTTCCACCAAATACAGGATTGTAAGCCAAGTGAGGACGGTTGAGGAAGCTGTCCAGAAGACAACGTCACAGAGCTCCACAGTTAGCTCTTCTTTTTTTTCACCAGTAATGGGGCCAATTCTGACCGTGCAGCGGTCAGTGCAGCACAGAGCTCCAGCCTCGGCACAGTTTGCCGTTTCTTTGGAGCCCCTCCGGATCTGGCAGTTAGGAACGACACTTCCACACAGAACCTGTGTGTTCTCTGGGCGGAGGTAGGCCACGGAGCAGTAAGCCTTTTCTGAAGCATCAGCGGTGATGTGCAGGTCTCGCTGAAGGTTGGAAATGTCCATTCCACAGCCCACGTGGTAGCGAGGCAGTGAAATATGAGACAGATGCTGCAACTCCTCCTCCCACGTCAGACTTGGCTTCAGAACATCATCATGCGATGGCAGGTCGTCCCAGACGCTTTTTTCCCCAGAAGTGCTGCACAAGAATCTCACGTTGCGAAAGGGGACAATAAAGCCCAGCGGGTCGGTCAGGCGTGCCAGAACCCGGTATACATTTCTCATGGTGGGTTTGGGAGGATCCAGCCTCCGGTATTTATTCTTCAAGGCGTCTGAATTGCAGAGCAAGTGGAGTCCCAGGGCAAGCTCTTGTGGGTCAGGGTTCCACAACTCACTGTTCTCAGATCTGGCTCCTGCTAGAAGGTGGCTGATGCACAGCAGGGGGGGCTACATGGGTTTTAATGGCTCACCTACAGTCGGTTTGTCGACAAGTTGTCGGCTTCTTTAAAGAGAGGAGGTTGTCCACATAAAACGAATTTCTACTGACATCCTCACCGGGCTGACGGTGGTCGAACACGTGTTCCTGCCACGCAAAGGTTGCCCAGCAGGGGGCTACATTTAGTGCCAAACGGCCGGGCGTGGCATGTGTAGATGCTTGGTGGTTCCTCGGCCTTCAGGCCTTCTGCCTCCCTTCTGATGGTGACAGTATACAAAACAGACTTGGACCAGGCTGCAGTGGCAGCAGCTTGTTGAGGTTCATTCCCTTATACACAAAGGAGCATTGAAAACAATCCTGTTCTTTCCATTGTGGCTTACCATGTGATGTGGTATGACCCCGGATTCAGGTGCATCGCTAAGATCCTCCGTTTGCGCTTTTACTTTGTGGCCTGCCTTTTCCAAATCTCCAAGGCGTTGCTCCGAGCGGCGGAGGTTGTCTTCCATCAACCCGTGAAGGGCTCCGAGGATCTCCGGCGTCGTAGCTCTCCGTCGGGGAGAGGCAGGCATACTCTGGAAAGCGGCATCTACGTACTCAGGCTGGATGGGACAGTGAGCTGCCGCTCCTTGTTTGTGAGAGGCGTCAACCTGACGTGATGGTGAATGATGTGCTGGCAGGGAGACGGTGTAATCTTCCATCCAGGCTGGCGGTCGTGTATCTCGGCGTGGACGAACATCCGGAGGACGTGGAGTCCCCTGCTTATATGGGAACATCTGCAGTTACTCCAATCTGGCTCGAAGGACCAAATTGTTTTGTAGACTTGGAAAAGACGGTTTAGATTTCACAGGTTCATAAGAATGGTGCGTCCACCAGGTGGCATGGATTAGAACGCACTCCTGACAAGATGTTCCATTGAACGTTTTATTAATGGTCGAACAAGCGTGTGGTTCTGAAACAGATACATGGAATAATTAGCAAACCCACTTAATGTAACATGTCTGCCTACATATAGAAGATACTTAATACTCTAGGCATTCATATACTACATTGTGCAGGGAGAACATTAATTAACATTTAACATGAATTACCTATTTACGGCACTTTAGGCTTACAACGTTAGTTTCACATTCAAACCTACAGTATTCATGAAATAGTTATTGGATTCCGATGCTTGCCACAAGGACTACGGTCAACTCAGCAGACACTTGAATTTTAGTGCATCTATATAAACATTCAAATTCAATTATTTGGAATTCAACATACAAAGTAAGACTTATTTCGGAGAAATCTCTCAATTGGTAAAATTAAATAATTCATTTTTTGAAATAGTGGCCAGATATGTCCTGAACACAAGTTCATCAGTCCTGTTTGGAATTATTCAGAAAACTGCTTTCATAGGACCTCAAAAAAGTATTAGCTTTTCGAACCTACACTTATATGACTTTTGTTTTGGAAAATATTTAATTTTCTGTATAGTAGTCAGAGAAGCCCTAAACCCATGTACACCAGTCATTGTCTGGAATTATTAAGAAAAGCCTTTTCATTGCAGCTCAAATATTGAGAAAATAGCTTTTTGAACATCCAAATAGAGGACTTTATTTTGGAGAATTCTCTTAATTGGTACAGTAATTTGATTTGTTTTTCTTCGGTGTAGGAGAAGTCAGAAATAGTCCATTATGTGGCATTATTGAGAGAACCGCTTTTAATAGACGTCAACTATTGATAAATGAGCTTTTTTGGCTAATGTATTTTTGAAAAATATGATGTACAGTAAAGATGTCAGATTGAGTATGAGGGAGTCAGATGTCCTGAGCAGACACACACACACACGATTCATACACTGGAATTATAGATTACATATCTTTCATCAAACTTTTCTCTGTAAAAATAGAGAATTTACATTAAGACATCTACAAAATAAAAATGTTCCCTGTGTTTTCGGTCTAAAAAGTAGTTAATTGTGTTTTTATAGCACATTTATGTTGTATTTTCTTTCTAACTCGTAATCCCCAGCATACAGGTTCACTAAAGAATCTGCTGACCTGATCGCGGTCCACGAGGCAAACAAAGAACAAGCGGCCGATCATATCGGACTCGATTGCCGTGCAAAATACGTAATTTACACCTGGCGTTCAAATACTACAGAACTTTGCATTACTTACTGGTTGTTTGCGCGAGTCTTGTAAGGGGGAACTCCAAACAGCACCGTAACACTTCAATATCTTTACGCACACGGCCGAGCCTTTTCACTAACTTTAAGCCGGTTGTATTAATCCGCGGCCAGATGACCGCCGTCTTCTTCCGCAAACAATAGTGCGGTTCCTACGCGGCTGCTTCTCTGAAACCCGTCGCTAGAGGGCGTCATCGTCGCATGACTGATAATAACTGCAGTCTCCTCGATAAAAGTATTCACATTCATTACTCAAGTAGAAGTAAAGATACTAAAGGTTTAAAAAGACTTTTGTAGAAGTTGAAGTATCAACTCAAGATGTTTACTTAAGTAAAAGTATAAAAGTAAAAGCAATGTAAGGGGAAAAAATTATATTAAGGACAAACTCTTAATGTGTAACCTTGCTCACAGAACATGTCAGTCCGTTACAATATTATCAGAAGGCGCCTTCAGATCATGTGACCTGCCGTTCGGATGATGGAAGCATGGCGATATTCAGAGAGGCAACGCTAAAACAACAGAGTGTCTGGGACATATGTATCTATAACTTAAAAAGATAAAAACCAGAACCCATTTTCCAGTGACGGCTAAATGACACAAGTTGGAGGATGTACACACACACGTTGTTCCCATTGATTGGTAGACTGCAGCGTCTCCCCAGGTTTACTACTTCATGGGGGGAGGAGAGGGGGGCGCACCCCTGTTATAATGATGGAAAACACTGAACTGGCAGCGGTCGGTTATCAAAACATTGGCCAAATAACCCATTTTTTCAGGCTTTATGAAGAAATACAGAATCCCCCTGTGTTCGTTTCTAAAGCCTCGCATTGAGACACACATATATTTTTTTTAAATGAGCTGCAACTACTTGCAAGTCGCTGTATTGTGCCAGATTCTCAATAAAGTAAAAACATTTACGGCAAACCCATGGTCGTGAAGGTACACATTTAACGTTACGTGGAATCTGCAGGCGGGTCCATGTCGCTAAATACCAACTGAGATCGCCTTGTGCTGTTCAGAAAAAGGAATCCTTCCACCGACCACTTTTCACACACGCGTCACTCTGATCTGCAGGTGCATCGCGGAGAAAACCAATAGGGTGTCTGGATGGTAAATGTTTATACTTCTCATCCAACCACAATCAAATTCACTGTATCCGGATGGCGCGATTTATCTGAATAGGTTTTTTGTGTGTGTGTTTTTGAACGCCGACAAGCCGGAATGAAAACGAGCCAAAATGAAATAGGAGTAACGAGGCTGTTTTTAAAATGTAAGGAGTAGGAAGTACAGATGTTTGCGTGAAAATGCAAGAAGTAGAAGTAAAAAGTCATCTGAAAAAGAAATACTCCAGTAAAGTATAGATACACAACATTTCTACTTAAGTAAAGTAACAAAGTATTTGTACTTTGTTACTTGACACCTCTGTTACTTGGACATATTGATCGTTGGCTGCCTGTGAGAAGATGTTCTAAAAAATGTGCCTCATATTTTGTAGACATGCTTTAAGAGACACACAAAATATAATTGGAACTGGTTTAGAGAAGTCTGTTGTACAGTTGCATTTCAACAGAGAAATATAGGCAGGCATACTCTGGAAGGATTACCTTGGTTTTGCTCTCTGCTGGCTTGGTGTCTTCTTCTGTTGTTGCCACCTTCACAACCTCAGACTTTGCCAGTCGTGCTTTGTAACGGGATTTCATTGACTGCCAGCTGTGGCTGGTCACACTCTGCTTCTCCATCTCTTGCCAAAGTCGGTTTCCCCCAGTCTCTGACTTGTGCTTGCTGACATAAGTCAAAATGGCAGCATCATCTTCAGCAGAGTAGGAAAGCCTGCCTGACCGTAGTAAAACAGTGACAAACACAGTAACACAAATTGAAAATGCAATAGTACATGTTGTTCAAAAGCTATTTTACAATTGAACTTTAATTCATTAAAGTCTGTTCGTCATACCTTCCGTGTGTCCAGTTGAAATCTCTTTCTTATTGTTGAGTCTAGCTGACTGTCTTGGGACCACTACAGGATTTAACTTGTAGTCCTCTAAATTCAGTTGTTCATTCTTCTCAATACAGTCAAAAATATACTGGGTGGACACAAACCTAAAAAAAACAAGAGATCTTAATATGTTTCAAGTTACTTTAAGTTTAAGTAATCACATACGAATACATGGCAATATTTCAACTCACTATGCAAACAACTTAAAAGATGTTTTGCCATTAAACATGACATGTCACATAGTAAAACCACACAAAAGTCATGCATGATTTCTTTTTTTTTTCAACTGAATAAGCAAGAAAGCATTTCTAACGGCATCCCGGCACACTGCCTACCAGTGAGTAGTACTTTCAGAAATGGAGCCTCTTTCCTCTGGTTCTAGGAGCAGGATTGCTCCTGGCTGCTGCACTTTGCACAACACTCCGGCCCCAGCGGTGATGAGCGGCTGCAGCTTAAGTTTAGCAGGACCCGGGCGCAGGAAGAAGGTCATGGGTTCACCATCCACGGTCATAAACAGAACTGGGGAGATGTTCCGTTTGGCCCCATTCTGCTGTTCGGACACCATGGTTAAAACGTTTCACCTGGTGAAAGAGAGGGAATGACGGAGAAGCCCGCATCGGATATCAAATATTAAAGTTAGTCTTTTATTACAAAGTAACTAATGTTATGAACACAAACGTGCAAGTACCACTAGAACCTGTTAATTAAGCTAAAACAACCTGGCATATGGCAAACAATATAACATCTCTTGCCTTTATCGTGATTCAGTAACTCCGGAAAAGTTTGTTTCCCACCAGCTCTTGATTTAATTTACCCGTTTATCAGTCGGATACAGTTAACAGTAGTAATGCAGTCTAATGCAACAGCACTGCACCCACGAAGGTTATGACGGTCAGTTTTGGATGAGGAGGTTTGGGACTTTCTAATGTTACACGAGTCATAATTGTGCTAACGGTAGCTAATAAACCGAAAACGTGAACATTGTCAACACGACCGAGTGTCGCATTATGTGACGTTAGTGACCACATTTGAATGACACATTGGGAAGTTTAAAGGTCAGAAACCAGGAAAGGTTAAGTGGCGTCTCGAGCACCTCAACAACTAACGTTAACGTTAATGAAGTTAGCTAACGTATGAACATTATGCGAAAAGACTTCCGTTCATTATTGTAACTTTACGTCCGGTTAGCACGATTAGCTTTAACAGAGTGCAGCAGAATGTAGGCATCATTTGCTAATCGTTGCATTAAACTTAAACACTGCTGATAGTAGATATTGAAGTATGAACTTACAATGTATGTTAGAGTTTTTGGATGTAACAATAATCGCTGTAGTTTGTTTACGTCATCAGCAGGCTCCCCGGTCCGTTCCCGCCGCTGCGCTATTACGAAACAATGTCCACTTCCGGGTTTTCTTCTTCGCTGGTGGAGTGCAAGCAGTTAGTGTTTTATATTAGTGTAAAATATAATATAAAATATAAAAAAATATGTATCATATATTAAGATATTATCAGATACAGAGGGGCCATTTCATTTATTACATTTCGGTTTGCGAGCCTCTACTTCAAAAAACACAGTCAAATATTGGGCATTACGATAACAACCTGTAGGAACTGACTTCAAAATAAGAGCCAGGTCCAGTCAAGTCAAGTCATGCAATGTACATCAATTACACACAAAAAAACAATAAATAAATGGATACATCAATAAATCAAATTAAATTAATGAATCCAAAATAATACGTTTCAAGTCATTATAACTTACATTAAAAAATAATATATAACAAAAAAATAATAATTATTGCATTTAAGGATGTAAAAATTAAAGCGTTTTGCAATCTCATCTTTTCAAGTCATACTTATGGGCCAAATGATCTCTGATTTCGCATCAGATTTAGAAGGAAATGATCTACGGAATAATTTCAATTCTGGACCAGATGTCGATTTTCTCCTTTCTCCATGAGCTGACTTCAAATCCAATTCATGAGCCAATTTATTTATTTTCATTAGATTTAAAAGACAATGGTATTGTTCTTGGTTTCATTTTAATTCTATTTTGGAAACAGTGATACATTGTAATGGATTTATTTGTTATTTTTCTTCTGTGGCATTAATATCTCATTAAAACCACACACAGTCAGAGTGGTGATGTTATATACACGTGACAGTGGACTGCCAACAACAACAGCAAAAAAAAATGTATACCTCCAGAATCAAACACGTACACATTGACAGTCCAGTGGGAGATATTATTCCTATTCAGTTTTATTTCCCCCCTGAGGCAACTGTATATGAGAGGTATGACGGATGAATTCTGCACTGATTTCAACACCTCATTATGAAAATTATAGTGGTCACAGAAAATAAGACCCGTGATCTTCTCCTCTATTAGCAGGCAATCCGTAAAAAAGACATGCACACATACTTTGTGTTGTTTTTGGATGTTCTGAAGCCTTCTCGTTTACAAAAAACACAAATTTATTGACATGGTTAACCCAACCACTGATTAGACTTGACTCCTTTCTGACTCCAAAATGACTGCATTTTGTTCAATGCAGAAAGGGGGGGTATCTGCACATTTTGGGCACTTCACAGCTACATCTTGCCCTAAAGTGAATATTTTTAAGTTTCTTTAATTTTACTTTGTCTTAAAAGAAGTATAGAAGTATAAAGGAGTGACGTTTTATCCTAAAACAACCTCGTTTGGTTTTCTGGTTGTTATAGTGTCTGTCTACAGGTTTCCTCATAAGTGTAGCACCAAATAACTAGTATGTAGTTGAGTAATGTTTGCTTGGCAGGGAATAAAGTCACTCTGACTCTACGTTATCAGAGCGTCTTTGTGCTCTGTTAGTTTAGCTCGTTCGGCAGGTGCCTTATATTGTAAATGTGCTCTTCAGATTAGCTCACTCCTGCTGCTCCTTCACTCGTGACACAATTACAGCCTCATTCCTCACCGTTCGCTGTCCAAAGCCGGTGTGATGCATTAAATACGCTTTTAGATGTAGCACCATTAATTTTTTTTTTCCTTTGTATGCATTTTTTAATTTGTCTATAAACTTTAAAAAAATGATGCGTATAAATCTCTCTGAAAGGACAAAAGTGAATCAACATTTCCTAACAATATTACTCACTTTGAGAAACCCGCAGTGAATGTTTATCTTATTTTTTGTTCAGCTAAGGAAGCGAGGAAGGGATCGTGCTGGCCGGCGTACTGCATCATTTCACACGACCTCACCTCCCTCACAGTCTGACAGCTCACTGTTGTTATTGGCCTGTATCGCTCCACTCCCTCTTCCACTCAACCAGCTGAAACAATACAACAGACACGAGGTGTCGCAACTCCTCCAAGTCTATGTATGTTTGTGGAAAACCTGTAAATATTGATGTGTAAATATTCACTCCTGTGGTCCATCCTCAAGCTGAACATCTTTCCTCAATCGTCATCGCGTCTCAGGAGTGTGTTTCATAACACTTCATTTCAGAGTGAGGATTTGAAACAAGGTCACCGCGGAATAACACGCCGGGGTTTGGTTTGGCTCGGACAGAAGAAAAGGTCCCCGCTGTGAGGTTCAGTAGTTGAGTCCTTCCTGTAGAGGGAGATGTTATACTACTCTGCAAAACACCAGCGCTGTCCATCAAACACAGTATCACTGATCACTTCAGTCCAGAGAAAAGGATTGATTTAGCTATCGTGTGCCAATTAAAGCAGATTGTTATCTGATCTGCTTAACCGTCGGGCAGTCAAGTGCTTCTGGTTGCACAATTAGAATTTGGAAGCAGACTTCATTACTAATGCTTTTGGAGACGGATCAAGACTTGGGTCCCAGTGTGTTTTGAGCCTGGTTTCTGGCACATTGCGATCCTCCCTTTAGATGTGCTGCTTTGGTGAAACCGGGCTAAAGGGACCCGGCTCCCTCTCAACTACTGGATGGCCTCAGTTTCATCATAGCCGTTTGAGCTGCATTGCTATTGATGATAACCTGAAAAAACTACAGCGAAAAGAGCTGAGAACCATGAAATCTAGATATTTAACACCGTGGGCTAACGATAGTGTAGCGAAAGTCTTGCATTGCAGTCTTGCATTGCATGTCCCTTTACTCCAGATCATCGGAGTGAACAACTGAATCTTTAGTCAAGCTTTTCCATCTTGGCCGCTTTCTGAATAGACAGGTTTTAGCCAGTTTTTTCATACTTGTGACATAACGCATGACATGGATGTAAGACACCTCCAGAGTGTTGCAGACAGGCGTGAAAACAGGCTGTTACCAGTTAGAGCTGAGTTTGTGGCAAAAAATGTCTGACGCCTTGATGAACAGAGATAGGGACGATCTTGTGCAACCAGCATGATTTCAAGAAACATGTTTTTCTTTCTTGTCAAGACACAGATGTGAAGATTAATGCAACTCTCTCATTTGTCGGTTTTCAGCGATGGAGCAGCCACAGTGTACCTGGAGGTGCAATGTTGGACGTTTGCAGCAGTCTGCCCAGGTGCTCTTTGGTTGTGCTTGCCAACCAGTGAGACGTTTTCAACCAGAAGTTTTTTTAATCTTTTTCAATATTTGCAGAATTGCATTGCTCACCCACAGAGCAAGCTAAATGACACCCTCCCTGCGGGAACCTCATTTTACTGCACAATGACGTCACATTTCATCCATTTGTGTTAAAATGTTGTTGTCTCAGTAGACGTAACTGTTCAGAAGAATTACTGAGGGTGTGAAGAATTACTGAGGGACTAAAAACAAAAAACACTTTTACTTTTAGAGCAAACCAGGAATGATGTGCAGCACGTTCAGCAGCGGGGACCTTGCATGAGTCACATGACATAACAGCTTGAACAGGGTCACATTGCCACATATGTCATTCATGTTTCTCTTCGAGTGTCAGTGACTTGCTCTTAAGCGTGAACGAGTGAATCCTTTGGAAAAAATCCACCTGACAGAGTTAAGGTGTGCCATTGAGATCACAATGGCACAATTAGTCCCAATGATGTATGGCGGAAAAACAGTAGCAAGACGTAACATCTCCACAGTGTGCCAGAGAAAAGGTTTTGTCATATTGACTCCTACTCATATATAAAGACCAAAGGTGTCCTTTGTGTTGCTTTTGATAAATTTACCCATGAATAAGATCCAGTGCATTGACACTCCTTAAATGTTTAAAAGAAGAGTGAAGTAAAACACTTAGTGTAGTTTTGAGTCAATACTTAAAGATGAGATGTGTAACATGTAGTGAAGTGATAAAAGCTTTGAATAAAGCTCTAACTATACATTCAAATTGTGTAATCAACACTTGTTATCTTTTATTTTACGTATTCATGAAAATTAACTACTGTTACCATTATTGCTATTGCATTACAGAAATGTGTTTTTTTTTCATGCGACTGAATGATTCAAGTCCAATGTAAATGGGAAATCTGGTGCACGGCCCCACTTCTTGGAATTTTTGCTTCATAGTTTTACAGCGTAACAAATATCCCAGAATTAACTATCATTATAATTTCTTCTTAGTCTAAAATGTTCCCCTGGAGAGTTAACAAGAACACAAAGTGCCATTATACAAATTCCGAAGGTGTTTTCTATTCAAACATCAGCTTAAACACAACAATTTTCCGAGAGCTATGTTGGTCGCACAACGGCAGGTGTATCACTTCAGAAATGCTTTTTCTGGCACACATATCAGGTATCGCACACTCGTGGGAGTCAAATTCCTTTCTGATGCTAAAACAAAAGAGAATAAAAAAGTGAAGCTGCTGTTTCTTAAGGAGCCCAACAAAAACAAAACTTCCTGGAGTAAATCACAGTCTTCTATCTTTGGACTCGGGTCCGCGCGGACGGACCGCTGCAGAAATACACTTTAAGAAAGTTACTTGGCAGATTAGCTCAGGGATCTTGGCAGGGCTTGGTCTGCTGAGACTGGCCGTAACAAAGTGAGGATATGCTGACTCGGCATAAAGAACACGTTTAATTACCATCATCATCAAGCATCCAAGGGGACCATCCGGGTCGGAGCCAGGAATCCCCCCCTATCATCTGCCAACTCAAAGACTTTATTTTTAGTGGCCATCTTCTCTTTAATCTGCTTAAGTCTCACGGCCTGGCTTTTTTTTTTTTTTTTTTTACAGCTCACACACTCTTATTCCTCATCAGAGTTTGTATGTCCTTTCTGCTCAAATCAAATGAAATGCATGTAGAAGGAATAAGACAACGAGAGCCATTACACCTCCTGGCCGTCCTGAGACGTCTTTTAGACTCATAAATGCTCCCGTTGCAGCACAGCTTGATTCTCACATGTTGTAAAATAACATGTTTTATATTGACTGAAGTCCTTAGGGCAAAAAAACGGAAAAGCGTTTTTTAAGTATGATTATGATGGAAGGAGCACTGATGAATTAAAGTGGCTATAATGAATATTTATTGTTCTAATGAGGGCGTGTACTGTGAAAACACTCCCAGGGAAAAAGCATCTGACGCTACAGTCCTCCTCGGCTCTTTGGAGCGTTTTGGTGTCCACAGGATTGATCTTATCCTCAAGTGGGTTGGTTCACTGGAAATATATTTATGTAAGTGTATGTATGTGTTTTATGGGCTCTAACTACTAAAACCTAATGTCAACCATTTTTTTAGAGCTCGATCCGAATGGCGTGCTGTATATCCCCGATGAGACGACAAGCATACTGTGAGTTTGTCTACTCAGAGTCAGATGTCATGAAGGTGTCAATGAACCGGTGTCTTGCTGACCTGTTGTCTCAGTGAGTTACACTGCGAGTTTGACCCTGACCTGGTTGTCGCTTGCTGTCTCCTGTATATCCTCACAAAGTTTAACTGTAAACTGATTACGTTTAATGAAAAACGAAAAGAAACAACAAAACCGAAAACAACGGCAATAAAACGTTAAGACTGTTAAAAAGTAAAACAACCTCAACGCTTGTTGATCAAACATCTATCCATAGACTTTGGTTTTCTGCCACAGTTCAGCAAAGTTCAGATGTTGCAATCGCTCCATCAGGGTGTGTGCGCGTGTTTGGTAAGAGGCACTGAGGTCAGCTGATGTAATAACTGCAAAACCCATTTCTAGAGTCTGGGTGACTGGAATGCTTTCAAGAAATGATTGGGACATTTTTAATGACTTGAAGCAAGACACCAATTTCCAATAAAAGTTAGAAAATATTTTATTTACAACATCCCCCCTGTGGTTTTATCAAAATCTGATTGATCAGACGCATGGATAAAAAATAATTTTATGGCAAACATTATAACTCGACCACTTATTAAGAATTTTCAAATAAAACAAAGCTGAAAAGCGTTTGGCAGACAATTCATCCATACAAAAATAATACACATGAACATATATTGTACATTATACATGTGTAATATATCTTTTTTTAGATGGCATGAATTACACATCAAAAAATGAGTCAATCGGCAATCCTATAAGGAAGAATCCGGCGTGTACGGTTTCATCGTCATGGTAATGGGCCTTATGTTGGCTTCACACTTTCTCACAGTTTCTGCAGCCGGCCGAGACTCAAATATGTTAGAGGCAATAATCTGATTTCTGTCTTTGTGTAAAGCTGATTAAAAAGAGATAGCACCTCCCCCCTGATGCCAAAACGTTGTTTCGTGTGTGTGCGTGGGTGAGCGTTCATGCACTTGTGTGTGTTCACAGAGGTTTTGAAGTACACACACACACACACACACACACACACACACACACTGCTGCTGCCTATGGTCGGTTGTAACGCAACATGTAGATAAGCTGCACGTGAACAGAGCATACGTGACATGTGTAACACATGGTGTAAAGATATTTCACAGTGATTTCTCCTGAAGGCACTTGAAGCAGGCTGATCAGGTAGTCACGGACGCTCGTCGTGATTAATGGTGCTTTCGTATTTAAGTCGGCCGCCCGCTCGTTCACCAAGTGTCCGGGCTCAGCCGGGTTATTCAGCTGCTGCTGTCTAGACAAGATGGAACAGTCAGACTCTGTCTTTCTGCCCTCGATTTCTCTTTTGCTGTTCTTCCTCATCTCTTTCTCAATTTCAGTCAGCCTGTCTGGCTACATCCCTTTATTTCAACACACCAGCAGCACAAAGTACTTTATCATTAGGATTTCACAAGTTATAGCTTTGATAATGAAATATCTTAATCCTCTTTTTCATTCCACTTTCTCAACTCGTCCTCTTCTCCCGTTGAATTCTAATACAAGTCCTTCATGATCTCCTGCAGCAGCGGATGTAAGCACATGTCCACTTCCGTCTTCTTCAGCAGCTGGATGAGGTGGACGTGGTCGGTTACGATCTGACGCAGGTCGGTCATTTTCTGGAGCAGCTTGGCGAACAGCTGCAGACAGTCTGGGTGGTTTAGCTTGAGCTGCAGCTCGAGCGAGTGAAGCACCGTCTCCTGGAGCTGCTCGATGGGCTTCACGTTCAGCAGGCCCGGGCGGTCTGGACGGGTTACAGAGACCGGGAGATTAAATCGGAGACTTTTCTAGAGACGCATTAAGCATCTATTAGGTCAACGTATCTATTGGCTGGCAAGCAGGTAATTTTGCTGCCTCTTTTTAGCCGACAAAGCTCTATCATTATTGACAAAATCATTCTTATCTTTATTTCAAGCTATAATCTTCGTTGTTTATGTTAATAATTGACTTAAATGGCTGCTGGTTCATCCTCATAAAAGGTTCAAGGCCAGAACTTCAACAAGTGGTCACACGCTAACCAGCAATATTAGAGCACATAGTTTGGGTTTCTGAGTGAAGTTGGTCTGGTTTGCCGTTATGCAGGCATGAAAATTAAAACATTTAAACAATTGGTCTGATTACCATCCAGGCAATAGAGGAAAGACAGGAGAAACCCTTAATTAATTATTAATAACAGACGAAAAACGTGTAAACAAGAAAAGTTAGAATCACGCTACATGTGATGTAGTTTTACTGTTTCTTTGAAAGACACTAACAGTTTTTTGTGCTGTATTTTAAAAAATCCAAAGTGCAGCTTCAGGCAGTCTCATGAGTTCTCTTCTGAATGAAAAAAGACGCTGGCTTATTAGGACTTTGAAAAGCAACATGTTGGTCATTTCTTTAAATACTATCTACTCTCATAGTGAGAAGGTTGATAGCATTTTTTTCTACAAATGCTACGTAGTAGCAGAAGAGTGGAATCACATGAATCTCTAAATCAAATTCATTTACTACATTCAAAGATCTGCGATCCACAAAATATCCTCCAAAACCCAACGCCCCCCAAAAAGCACTCACCCCCGCTGAGGATGATGACAGCCAGAAACAGAGCCATGTCACTGTCGTCCAGCTCGAGTATGTTGAATTTGACTGAGAAGTCAAACTTTGGTTCCATCATTTGACCGAAAGGTTTCCTGAGGCTCTTGAGGAACTCGCGAGTCATAAAGATCTGCCCGTAGGAGATAAGGGTCCCGTCTTTGTTCATCAGAGGCGCCATCATGATAGTTAGGACCTCGATCACACCATACTTCAGCAGAGTCACCTGGTAGAAGGGTCGACGTGAAGAGATAACAGCTGATCAGATGTGGGTGAGCGACGGCTAATAACACGGGTTTCATGAACACCGCGGGCCGTCGCCTCTCACCTGATCATTGAGATCCAGATCGATGAACCCTGGGATGCTCTTGGCGAACTCTGTCACTTCTCTCACCGCTTCGGCTGAACGTGATTGACAGCTGTGGAAGAAACGCAGCTCCAAAGCGTCTGGCGGAGGCTGTCCGCTCACGTTCATTCCCATTCCCAGAAAGCCGTACTCTGGACCCTGGTAAGCTCCTATGATTTCTGAAAGAAAGGACGTCCTTGATGAGGCGCTTCTGTTCGGGGATTAATATATATGTTCAGTGCAAAAGAGCAGCCAGAGTTTTAAAGTCAGTTCAACGTTGTAAGACAATTACAACAATTTGAACATTGGGTCATATTGATGAATAAAATGTACAGATAATAAGATAATAAAGAAAGTGATGTAATAACTAACTTAAAAGTTGTTGTCTCTAACCTTCAAGTCCTGCTGTGAGGGCGGATGAGTGTTGCTCCTGGATGGGTATCTGCTTACAATTAATAAACTGCTCTCCCTCCATTAGAGACTTCATGTCATGGATGACAAAAGGCTGCACATTGAGTAGAAAGAATTGGAAGAAGAGAAATTTGTAGAAAGAAAAAACAAAAAAAGGACAAAAGAAAGAAAAAATATTCAGAATTAGCTACTCTGAGTACTTGTCAGATTATATATTCTGCGTATATACTTTGGTGATTGCTCATTGATCAGACCTGCAAACAGAAATACCACAAGTGTGATATATGTAATGGAGAAAGTAAACACATCTTTGCTACCCGCTGAGGCAGGTAATGAAGCATAACTAAGTTAAAGTTGCTCTGAATGATGAATGGTACCATTCCTATCCTTAAATGCTCCTTTTACAGGTAAATGAATAATTAAACAGATAAAGAGGTAAGAATAGGAGAGCAAAAAGATAAATTATTATTTTGCAAAGGAAATTAATTGAATTCATGAGCTTTAAAATGCAACATTGCTCCGTTCAATCCACATGTTGGGGTTGTCTAAGTTGTTTGATATTGGCTAACTTTAAAAAAGCACAAAGTGTTCTCTGTCAAACTCATTTTGTAAAAAATGCTCCTTCCTTCCCCTCTGATGGAGCGTCTACAGTGCTGGTGGAGTAAAGCGTTGATGAAATCAACTCCTATCAAGGTCCCGCGTGTCAAACAAGGCAAATATTCCGCAAAAGATAAAATAATTTACTCTCAATTTGTTTCAGGAGGTTCGCTGCGGATTAGTAAACAAGCCGAGACTTCCTCCAACCAACAGATAATGCGGTGCCAGTTGGCTGCTCTCGCTGTGATGAAGAGCCACAACAATCAGAAGAAAGGGGGGCGGCCTTGAACTCGTGTGACTTCGTAGAAACAAGCCACAGAAAAGGAAAAAAAAAGACTCATATGCCGCTTGTACAGGTGGTCGAAGAGCAACAACAACAACAACAACAATAGTTATCACTTGAATTACTACGTAGCTGTAGCAGGCGCACTTTGGTTGATTTTCCACCACTAAACCATAATTCATTTGACATTATTTACATTTGAATTATACTTAAATATATTTTTAAATGCTTGATTCATGTTTGGGCGTAGCGGTCAAAATCAATCGAATGTTACCGGCCCTTTAATTCACTGCTTTTACTCAATGACAGTCTACTTAATAGGTTCAGTGAAAACTAAAATGATTTGGTAATATTGAAATATATTTATTTCAACAGAATTTTTGTACGGTTTAACTGATGACAATCACACATTTGCCATAACAAAAAATTAGCAACACATATTAAAAAGAATTTCTAAGGAAGACTTTTACAAAATAATCATAGCAGGCCTTTTAAGTTTTTTTCTTCCCCTATGTTTTTACTAGCTTTTACTTTATTTTTTAACTATGTTTTACTGCTGATGAAGAGTGTGTTATAGATAAAATTAAATTAAATCAACTTTGGGATTTAAGCAAACGCCAGAAACCCACTGTTTATCATTTTTAAATATTTACCCCAGCTTTCTTATCTCTGCCAATTGTAATTCCTTGATGTGTATTTGCTGATCTCTTTTAAATAGTGAAAAACTCAAAACGTACATGTAAAAAATACAGAAGCAGACAATATCTGATGTTTTCATGCTTTTGGCACATATTTTCCTTTAAATTACCAAATGGGTTGATAAATCTAAATCTTTCATTTAAAACGTAACCGTGATAACCAGGAGACAAACCAATGATGTGTATTTTGCTCACGCAAGCAATACAGAGGACTCCACCACCATTGAAAATACATAAAGTAAAGTAGAATTTTGCAGTGCTGCTCACCACGTTGTCTCCGGTCTTCCCAGAGAGGATGGCCCTGGCCTTGACCTTGGTGAGGGGGAAGTTTTTCAGATAGGCTTCATACAGATGCCGGGACAAAGCCCTCAGATCTGCTGCCTCCGGGTGCATGTGCACCACGTCCGAGGAGAACTCAGCCAGCAGTTTCTCCTTCTCGGCCTGGGGCATTCGGCCAAAACGAATGGCTGAGGAATAAAAACAGACAGACTTAAACATACATTAGCGCACAAATAGACACCCGTTAGTACACAGTGAGAGACCGTGTAAGAGCACACGCAAAATGATGTAGCAAGCAGGAATAATTGTACAGATAAATGCACATTTTGACATGCATGACCACGACACAAAACACTGATGTGCAAACTTCTAAATAGTTCAGGGTAAACAACTCATCTCAGTGGAACCTCCTCCAGTCAAGTTATCCAAAACTTTACATTACATATCGAAGTCACAATACTGTCCTGCTCCGAAACATCCTTCATCAATCCGCTCACAAAATGTCTCAAATAAACATATTATGGTCCCTGAGACCCCTGAAATTCAATTTGAAGATGGTTTAAACTAATGGGATGTTGAAATTAAGGTGTATGCAGATTTTCATATTAACAAAAATTATGTATGTAATTTTGTATGGAATGTTTGTATTTTTACATCTTCCTGCCAAATGATAACATTTCATACAGTACATTACTGTACTGTGTATAGTTCTTTTCTGCTCTATGAGCTTCAGTAGACTTTAGAATTCATTGGACAGTGATAAAGAATCATATCGGCTGGCTAGTGTCTGTCCGCACAACATTTCTGTTTCACATGAGGCGTGTCAAGTCAAGCAATTACAAAACGTAGTTCTCTTTAATAATACTACTTGTATTTTCAGTCTCTTTTCTCCTCACTCTAGCATTTGCTGCAGGGTATTCCCACACAAAAAAGGTCCGTCTAGTTTCCATTTTTAAAAAGATGAGTGGGGGGGATTGTTATATGCAAACGTCCATACACAAAATTATCTAATTTAAGTTTTTAATGCCATATTTTACTAATGCTTGAGAAATGTACATTTTTTAACAAATCTCAGTTTGAGATTGTTTGAAATTGACTATATTTGTAACTTCAAATTGTATTACGGCCCTCTATACTCGTTGGTTGGACATTTTCTTATTTAGCTCTCATATTGTTTATAAAAATAAAAAATATGTGTAAGTGTATAGTATACCCTTGATGAAAAACAATAGCTGCTACACTATTTACAAAACATTTTCCATTACTTTTTTTAAATAGTCACATTCCGAATAAGAAGGGTGCTGAAATGTTATGCTTAAGTTGCGAAATGGTTGAGGTCATTTTTTCTGTTAGTAAAAGTAATTAATTATCCTCCATTCAAGCCTCTGCAAAACATGTACTGAGCTTTGTGGAGTGCGTGCACAGCAGCTAATGTGATTGTGTAATTCTGACTCTCACACCTTAAGCAAACAAATACCATCTCAAGCTGGCGACGCGCCTGCAGCAGTGACACAGCAGATTGGAGAAATCAGTGGTGGTTTATCTGCTCTGAGATGTCAATCATTGGCCAATTAAAAGCATTCATTAAATAAACGTAGGAGGAGGCGAGAAGAGGGACGGGGAGACAAAGTCGCCTGAGAGGTGCAATAAACTATTACGGTTGTGTATTAATTAAGCATTGCACATGCTAGTATCCTACTGTCAATATGAAGCAGTTATGCTATTGAGCTTTGATACTTGACTGACATTTTTTTTAAATAACTACAATTTAAAAACAGGCTTTCTAAGAAAATAACTGCACACTTACTTTAGCCAAAAGAATTCAGTGCATACCACAAAGCCTTTAAGTCCCTCGACTGACTAAGATTGCAACGGAAGCCTCATCTCGGTTTAGGCCGGATGTTGTAATATCTGTTATTAACCATCATGTATTTCTACCTGAATGGCAATTATTCATCTAATTACACTTTACTCCTTAAACTGTCACTCTCAATGTTACCGTGCAGGCTGGGAAGCGGTTTTGTTAAGACGAAAGGCGAAAGCAGTGGAGTGAGAGCTGTAAGCTGTCCCACCCTAACAGGTACAACAAAACTATCAGGCGAGTCGGGGAGACGTCAATCAAGCTCAACCTGCGCTCGCGCCCACACAGTGCCGACCCACGCTGAAACTCAAGAAAGGCGTGGCCAGCGTTTGCATAAGACCCGACTGCAGCTGGGCAATTCTTCTACAGCGGGAAAGTAACGGCCAAGCTTCTTGTCCACGAATGTAAACTCACAGAAGCCTCTAAATGAGCCGCAGCTTGTGAATCTAACCGGCAGCGACGAGAGAAGCAGCAGCAGAAGCGGCGGTGAACTGCATTTGCATCGACAGCCTAATCGATGGGCCCCCGGGGCCGCCGAGCGTGGGAGGTGTCGCCCGCTTCTCGCCACTTGCAGGATTTGGTGCATCTCTGCCTTGATCTTGCGTGAACGGTTGAAAACCCACGTGGGTGTAGCGTGGCTGAGCGAGGCGCGCACATGTGGATTTGCTGATCTCATCTCCTTTTTTGCTTGACATGGACCAAATTTTTAAGTTTGGATTCATAGCAACAGTGTGAGCACAATGGGTCTAAAACAGGAATTGCTTGTGAATTTTAAGCTGGCGATTTAGTAACCGCGTTCATTTCAATGCTATGGTATTTTTAAGGACATGTATGAAAAAAATACCTGTTGCCATCTCTGGTGCACTTACAACGTTTATCAATGCAACAATAAGAAGATGAAAATAAATTAACTCCACGTGAACTGGGTAAAATAAGCCTCTTTGAATACTGCTGGCCGCTGGTTCATTGCACGAGCGATGGGAAAAAACATACGATCTGTGTCGAATACCACAAAGGAAGCAAATGGCAACAGATAAGGCAGCATTGTACACCGCTGCGTGTGCTACCACCACAAAAGAGACCAAAATAACAGCAGTTTGGTGAAGATGTGAATGCTGTTCTCAGAGGGCACCAGGGGCCAAAGAGTGTCTGCGAGGAAGAATTACCATGGTGCTTATTTACATGGAGCCTGAATTCATCCTCTGAATAGAACTTAATAAAGCACATCAAACACCCCCATCTTACCGTTGTGTGACATGCCGACATTGAGGCACTTCTGGAAGCGACAGTATTGGCATTTGTTGCGGGACTTCTTGTGAATGCGACAGTGCAGATCACAGTGATCGTACACCAACTTTAACCTGATTGTCCGTCTGAAGAAACCCTACGAGACAGAAGCAGAGACAGTAAGGTCAGATGGTAACAGCTAACATAACCTGTTTTCTTCCATTTGCTCTTCTCTGCTACATCTGCTCCTTTTAAAGAGGCAAAGAATCGCACCGAGAGACAATAGAAGTATGATAAGAAATAAAGAAAATGCATTCATGGTACTTTCATCTACTTCATAAATACACAAAAATGGGTATTGTAGTTTAGGCATAAAAGGAAGTCAAACAATACATTAATATAAAGAGATCCAGCTATTTTACTATTACAGTTTTGTTTTCTCACTTTGATTAAAGTTCGTTGTTGGTGGAGTAGCTCCCTAGAGAGACAAGAGAGACTCCATCTATTCACTGATGTAGATTAGATACTTAGGTTCCTAATCGGAGGAAGTCATTTCCGCGGCCCACGAGTGTGTTTAAAAGCAGATTGTGTTTCAGGGTGGATTTATGCTTTGTTATTTTCAACCTTAGGACCAAAGGAGCTCCTTATCTCAGCTGGTGACTATGTGGCCACAGTCAAACGGCTAACACACACTCCTACGCGCAGGCTGGCCGATGGCTGTGGTGTCTACGCTGACTAAGGAGGTGTAATCGAACGATATACTGAAAAGACACAAAACAGAAAAGACTAGAGTCTGTATTGTATTGCTGTTTTTTTAGACGCATACGAGTGGACTTGTACCATGTGAAGGGCATCTGCGTTCTTAAATTCACAGATGTTCCTTTTTAAATCGTGGGTTATTTAAAGAAGGAGGAAGTCAAATGGGGGTCAAGGCTCCACCTCAATAAAGAATGTTTTGTGTTTTGAAACAATCAGGTGTTTGCCTGCTTGGCTGACCCCCCTCTTCTGGTGAATCCCCCGAGGCTTGAGCAGAACAATGACTACTGTACCTTTCCATCATTCAGCCTCGGACGGTACAGCATGACTTGGACTAAGTGCTTTGTACCTTGTAGTAAATCCAACACAACAGTCCTGACAGTGTCAGAGAGGCGCTGATTCAAACCCCACGGTCAAGGCTGAAGTTAGCGTTATAATAAGTGCTATTATAACAAAGCCCATTAAAATACAACCAGTGATGAGTTAGTATTATTGGTTACACAATGTAGTATCTCGATTTATAGAGATATAGACCATTTTTTTAATATAATCATCAACCTGAAACCTTTGATTTGCTTTGGCTGGTCCTGTATTTATGGAACCTGGTTGTTAGAAGCGAACGTGAGATAGCGTTAGAATAAACCACAGTGCCCAGGTTTATGGTAACAATGAAACTTGTCACCTTACACCCGAGCGGCTCACTGATGTGTTTTGAAGGTTTTACAAACACACAGCACATCTAAAGTAGGTTTTCATACCAACATCAAAAAACTCAGAGGTTAAAATCTTCTTGGAAACTAACAGGAACAAAAATGACAAATTACTGCTATTGTTATAGAAAATCCATGTCCCATTTCTTAGAAGAAAAATGCCACAATTTAAAGCTTCTTATAATGTCTCGGTGTTTCAAAGAAAACAAAAATATGTGTGAAACCCCCCCCACTCCATTAGCTATTTATACTCCATACTGACTGACGAACAGGCCGACTTTAAGGGGCTGGGTGCGCGTCTGTCTTTGTTGGGCCCTCGCAAAGTGGAAAATGATGTGGCTTGTGGTTAAAGTGACAGACATAAAAAAGATTATAGCGTTATTAGTTCCACAAACAGGTTTCACCTGCGAGTGACACATGGTGACAGAAAAAGGCTGGCAGAGAAACAAAACTCAACAATTCAGCGTGGAAGTTACCATTTCCTGACATGTCTACGGCTGGTATGACTCCACTGCTCTGCACCCAAGTTTAATAATATGCATCTCTCCAACAAATCAGTTGCCAGTATTTCAAAATGCCCTCTTGAAAACAACCACATGATCACAGAGTCCTGCTGGTTGTTTTGTTTCCGCTCTACAAAGACGGTTACCCTTAGAATAATAAAAAACTTCACAAAGTTAGTGATGTTTGAAGTCCAACCAAGTAGATGATGTGTAATGAAGATCTGCAATCAGCATAAAATGAATCTGCAACTACTTGTTAACTGACTGAATGATAATGGGAGTATTTATAATGACAGCCTAATTATTGAGAAGCTTTGCTGCTCTCTTCTTTTGGGGGATAATAAATTGCACAACCGTTGTTGAACCGTTGGTGTAACAAAAACAGCCATGTCATTTTCACTAAATGAGGAAATAACACCTGATAGTCAATTCTACAGTTTTCAACACTGGTTATTCTTCCACAGTATGTTTATACGTTGTATTTCCACCGTTGCTCAGGGTGATCCTTCGGCCTTACCTTACAGCCCTCACATGCATGGACGCCATAGTGAAAGCCTGAAGCTTTGTCCCCACACACGCGGCACTCGATGTTTAGCGCGGCTGGCGACGCTTCGTCCTGGAGCTTGGAGAACACGTGATTGTCAGAGTACTGAGGAGGCGACGCCGGCTCCAGCTTGATCAAATCTGACAGCAAAAACATCATCAGGCAACAGAGGGACACCGAATGATGCAGATGGATAGAAAACTAAAACTTTTCAACTTTTATCAAAGGTTTACTCAGTTGGCGTTATCAAAGTTTCTTCCTGTGACGCGTACTAACGGCTATAGCGAGATTATCATGTCTTGACCGACTCTCTTCTAAATGTGATACCTTTGATACATTTTATCATTAAAGCTGTTTTCTGCCAGGACTTTAGCAAATTGAAATAAACTTCTACTACTTCCACTGGCGATCCCATCACATCGCCTGGACTCACTGTGCGTGTCTGGCTCCATTCTGTAGCTGTGCATGTTGGCGTAGTCCATGTGGGTCAGCTGTTCCTCGCCCTGACACGGGCTGGGGTCGTAGGCCAAGCCGGCAGAGGAGATGGAGGATGCAAGCGGGGGAGACAGGGAGGACGGGATGGAGGGGGAGGAGGAGATGGAGGCGTAGTCCAGCGTGGACAAATGCTTCATGTCGAGGGAGTGGGAGCCGTCGCCCAGCTCTGACAGCTCCACGGCGCTCAGGCTGAAGCCGACGGGCCAGGCCAGGAGCTGCTGGGTGTCCACCATGTCGACTGTGGAGAGAGATGAAGCAGTCACGCAGCGGCGGACGCAATGTCCTTTGTTGACTGTATGTGGCCTTGCTAAAAGAAAACATGAGAAGAACCAGAGAGAGGAGAGGAAGAGGGGAAGAGAGAGAGAGAGAGAGGGGGGAGGTGGGTGAGGTCAAACATAAACAGGAACAGTAGACGGGGGAAAGAAAGATGATAATGAAAATGTACATGCTGCGTTACACATGGTGTTGATGATTAAATATGTCCGGAACAGAGAAGCCCAAACATAACAAAGCGCACACACACACACACACACACACACACACACACACACACACACACACACACACACAGACCCCCGGCTCTGCAGCGCGTTCCCGCAGTCCGTCTGTTATTTGGTAAACAGCGAGGCAGATTGTGTCACCGCGAGCACAAGGCGAACTCTGGCACCCAGGAGCGCCTCGCGGGCTCTAAACACGGTGTCCCTCGCGGGCTGTTTGGGTGGCTCGCCGTGTGATTGCCCAACCAAAGGACACGGAGGGCAGGACGGTTTGAGGCGCTGTCTGTCTGGGGCCAAGGATGTGGCACAGACTGAACCTTCTGAGTGCTGAAATATGCTACCGATTGTTAATTAAGAAGTGTGGTGGATATTTGCTCCAAAAGCGGAGCTTTTTTCAAAGTCTAGGTTCTTTTTTCTTGACTGTGAATCTTTAAAAACAGAACAAGAATGTCTATTTTGTATAAATGAACTCTGCTACTTAGAGGAAATGTATTAAATTTGACCTGTACCATGTATGAAATAATGCAACACTCAAATAGAAAAACAAATGTTTGACACAAATGAGAAGGCTCTTAGTCATTCTAATTCTTGCTCAGATGGTCAAAAATTGTTGGAAGAAGTGAACCGAGATTGTCAAAGTCTAGTCAACAGAGGCTCAGTCCACACAAAATGAAACCACGTACACAGCTTTACAATAAGGGAAGTATGTAGAGATCATACCTTTTAAAACTATCTTGTTAGTGTGATGTATTTGATTGTTACAACTTATTTTTTTTAACTACAGTCATTGCAGCTATTAGTAATTGCTTGAATATGTCACACTCTTAATATTGGTTGAATTTGAAAACTAGTTGCTACTAACTTTTGTTAATGCACGTCATATTTAGGTTTTATAGAAAGAATTATTCCATTTTGATATGAAATGTGAGTAAATAAAAGAATTTGTTGAATTGTTTTTTCTTGTTAAATTATATATATTTTCATTCAAAATCGTAAGGCATTACTACGTTTTCTAGAAGAGAAAATCCAGATCCATGTGTCTTTCTGAATTTCAATAGTGGGAACTATTACTTATTGCATGCTTTCTTTTTTCTTTTCAGAAGGAGGAAGCTATGCTTGTATTCTGACCTTGATTCAAACTAAAGGAAAACACAAACTAGCAACAGTTTATAAATAAGCAGTAGAGTAAAAGGTCTGTGCAGTAAACCGCCTGGCCTGCCAAGCAACCTTTTGTAACAACACAAGTTTTAAAAATAAACCTCCTCTAATCAACCATTTGGAAAATAGGGTAACAAAGAATCCAATATATTACGCAACAGTGCAACACTAAAATAGCTGTACTCGGCTGGCACAGCAGCACCAGGTATAAAAAGAGCTTGAAATGGCTCCACTTTACTTGGCAAAACATCCCTGCGCAACAAACATCCTCTTCTCTCAACTACTTATTGTTTCCTTTTCACCCCTTTGGACTGTGGCAACAAAAAAAGTAAGCAGATGACCCACTTGAAATTCACATTGATTGTTTCAGAACAAGAGAAAAACAGTGTGTGTGTGTGTGTGTGTGTGTGTGTGTGTGTCTGTGTGTGTGTGTGTCTGTGTGTGTGTGTGTGTGTGTGTGTGTGTGTGTGTGTGTGTGTGTGTGTGTGTGTGTGTGTGTGTGTGTGTGCGTACGTCCGCAGGTTGCGGCTCTGCTGTCATTGGAAGCTGCTGCAGGGGAAAATGCTGACTATTAATAACCAGAGAAACCTGGATTCTTTTCCAGGTCCATATATTTGTTGGCCATTTGCCACTAGATCCAGACCTAAAATAGACGAAGCATTGGAGCGACTCGTGTCCTGGTTGGCATCAAGTCATCATAGGGATACAGGAATGGTGGGAGAAAGAGCTCTGGATGTGAGTGAGAGAGATGGGGGGAGGAGGGGGAGTCCTCAAACCACTTCAAAAAATCTAACTGCACCCTGGAGGCTTAAAGAAAAACCCCTACTGTTAATTCACAGCCGGCCCTCAGCAGGCTAGAGATGAACAACGCTGAGAAAGTAAGAAAGAAGTTGTTTTGTAGCCCAGCAGCTCAACCAAATGTGCTCCAATAAAAAACAAGTTTGCACTGTAAACTCTGCAGTGTTTAATAAAAAATCCACTGCATTCAACATGTTTGTATCTGTGAATGCTGTGTGGGCAAACACCATGTCAGACATTATAAAGGATGACAGATGGTTCGTATTGTTTATGCTGTGTTTATTGTTTGCAAAGGTGTGTGTTTGTGTGCCCGTGAGAGCACGTGCGTGACAATTATGCCGGTGTTTCCTGCCAGTTCTCTTATTGCCACATGTCAGAACTTGTCTTCCAGATACGATGACAGCTCGTAGGAGGGCTTTTTATCAGCTATTGCCTCAGACATGACATAATAACAAAAGGCCAACGGCAAACTGGCACACAGGGCTGCAGTGACAAGGCGGAGTGGCTGTGTGTGTGTGTGTGTGTGAGAGCATCAACTTTCCAAGGATATTTGAATGGACATTACTTAAGGGAGAGTGAATGAACAAAAGCAAAAACCGCTAACTGGATTATTACATTATAAAATGATAATACCCTAACAAGACTACGGTAGAGGGAATGATTCAGCTCTCCCAGTCTGAAAGCAACAGTTTTGGGGGAAAAAAGGAGGCAAAACCAAGAGGTCAAACTGAGAGATGTGAAATCTTTCCTTCGGGGACAAAGTTGCTAAACGAAAGTGTTAACTTTCAAATTTCTCCACAACAGTAAAGATTCAATCTAAAACAGATTGAGCATAAGGTGATCCAGTGTCTAAAGTCCTCTTTGTGCTATATATATATATATATATATATATATATATATATATGTATTAGATTGGTAGGTCGATAGGTCTTTACTGTTTACTGAAGAAATATGATTTAAATAGAAAGTATTTCAGTTAAATTTCATTCGTTTAGCAACTTTGACAAAGGGTTGTGAAATCTTTCCTTCAGGGACAAAGTTGTTAAACGAATGAAATTTAACTGAGATACTTATATTTAAATGATTTAACTTTCATATATATATATATATATATATAGGATATAGTTCCGCAAAAATAAAAAAATAACAATAATTGGAGAAAGACTAATTGTGTGATGGTGTAGAAGCACATTAAGGCACTCAACACTGGAGCTAATGTTAGTGTAGTACCGTGTGAGTAGTGTGGGACCTTGGCGAACTCTGGAGCCGGTCAGGTAAAACGTGGGAGACAAAAGGAGAAACCTGCCCGGCAGCATTCAGAGGGATCAACACTCTTATCCTCTCTGTTTGAATAAAAACTATGTCACCACTAATGTCAAAGCAGACACTCTGTCTATCAGAACCACTATTGGAAGTCTTTTGGTATATTTTGAATATTGTGTTAGAAGTTACTTGCGGGTTGCATCAGAATTAAACACAATGTATTTTATGATGGCGTTTGCACACTATGGGTCCCTCATACGTCACAAAGTGAAGTATCTCTGATGCAAACATAACTATGTGCCCTCTAGTAGCGGTTAACATGCATCATTTAGCTCAGTTTACCACATTTTTTGCTGTTCCCTGTCTAACACCCCAAAGACATGCTGCCTTTCCTGTCATCACGTGTGTCCTGCGTGTTTGTGTCACACTCAGCGACAGGGAGTTAGTGCACACGGCGCTGTGACTTCCTGACCTCTTCATGTAAATCAGCATGTGGTTTAGTGTCGGTGACTAAAACCAAGATATGCCTGCCTGCAAGTCTGCCTCAGTTTCTGCGAAAGGGGAGAAAGGTGCATGATATTGGTCTGGTTTGTGTGAGGTAACACTGGGATGCGGTGGAATGGTTGAATGTTGTATTAATGCTGTGCTTTATTTGTAAGTACCTGATTTTTTTCCCCCAAATGCCTGCAGGGTATAAAACGTCGCCTGCTACACTGGCCCTTTTAGTGGTTACAAGTCGCTATGGACAGAATGACATAAAAGGGCCTTCCCCTTCTGCACCTTAATGATCAAACAGAAGAGAAGTGTGAGCCAGCGGTCTGGACTGCCTTCTCCACCCAAACAAGAGGCTCCTTGCGTCTGAAAACCGACTTGTGTGGTTTATACTGAATTTAGTCATGAGACTTTGAAGCCTGGCACAGATAAAAGGTAAAAAAAAAATTAAAAAAGAATTCTGACTATAACAGCACCCACTCTGACTTCTATTTGACTTTTTTTCAAATTTCTGTGTTTCAACTTCCAAAGCAAGGAAAGTGTAGCCCTGATAAACATCGAGTCACCCGGAGGTCAGATTGCGGGGGAGGCTTCACGCTTCTTCCCAAAAGGGCACAAATTGAAGAAACCGTGTTTTTGAGCCTTTTAGAAAGCATAGCCACACGCACCCGGAGTTTGAATTCTCACAGAAAAAGCGCCTGGTTCCACAAAAAACGAAAAAAAGGGCGCAAAATAAAAAGACACGCTGAAGAATACGGCGCCGCCCCATACGACCTAGTTACAAGCCAATCATACCAATCAAAGGGGTTTATGAGCTCACTGGGTCGACCAAACATCACGAGGATCTTGTAGACAAAGCAAAGCGTGGTTACGCAGTAAGGAACTTACATACTCCAAGTCTAAGAAAGCTGGAGGACCCACAGAATCTGATGCTCCCAAGAGACTGAAAAGTGGAAATCCACTCGCAAACAAACCACGTTAAACGATCAAGTGAAGACACTGCTGTGTGTATTCACTGCTACGTGACAGC